GGGGGCGGCCGCGGTGCGCGGGGTCGGGTCCGCTCCGCGCGCCGCTTCCGCACTGTGCCTGGCTCTGACGTCACGGCGGGGCCCGGCCACGCAGGCGCCGTAGCGCGGAGGAGGAAAGAGCGCTCGGCTCTCGAGCGCCCCCTGCCGGCCGGAGGTCGCGCTGCGCCCACGTGTCCTGCAGGGAGCGGCGCTGGCCCGGGGGGAGCAGCTGCGGGCAGGACAGGGCAGGGGCGGTGGGTTGACGACAGCGCAGGCCCTGCTGCACCCAGGGACCCCGGAGCCACACAGCCCACTGGGTGGGGTGCCATGCAGGGTGGGGTTCCAAGGCAAGATGCGGTGGCATGCAGGATGCAGCGCGGCACAGGGTGTGGTGCCAGCTCGCCCCAGGAGCCCGCTGGCCCCAGACAGCTAGTGACGTGAGCTGCCCGCGGCGCAGCAGGAGCCGGACAGGGCAGGCCACGGGTAGCGTTATGCTCCTGCAGGCCTGCCCTGCCCGGGCATTCTTCCAACCCCCGGGGCTACAGCACAGGGCCTGGGTCTCGCTGGCGCTCAGAGGGCGGCAGGTCCTGCCTGGCAGCCACCCAGCACCTGCTCCTGGACTTTGTCTACCCCCGCTTCCCCCTCCCGCCATCCATCCCTGCCACTTCTCACTGAACCTAGCCCTGGAGACTCGTCACCTGGCAGCCATCCGGGGCCTCATTCCACAGGGGTGACCTCGGAGGCCTGGGAGCTGCAGCCCTGAGTCACAGTTTCTTTTCCTCCGTCTAGTCCCGTCACTTGTTTGTCTTGTTCACACCCTGCAGCAAGAAAAAGGGGAAGTGGAGAGTGGAGGCACTTAGAGCTTCTCAAATGAGCTTTCACAGGGACAAAGAGCCCTCCTCACTTGGGCCACCAGCAGAGGCTAAGCTCCCGCTCCTGTGAAGGTCAGTGCCCCTCCGCTCCCGCTCCTGTGAAGGCCAGTGCCCCTCCACTGTCCTCTGGCCAGGTGAGCTCCACCTGAAGCCAGGCAGGTAGCTAGGGCCAGGGTCTGCCGCACCTGCATAGCACCTCAGTCATGCCACCTGAGGAATTCCCCCTTGATGAGCAAATGGGATGTGATGTGTCTATTCATTTGAGGACCCAGAGGAATGCAAAAGGGGGTGGCTGATTATGAAATTAGGGAAGGTTCAGGTATAGTAATGGGTAGCATAGGCAATGCTGACTTACATCACTGGGTTACTGGAAGGATTAGCTATTGTTAAACATTTCCAAAAGAAGTTTCTACTACTACCAACTATTGGTCTGGAGGAGGGTCCAGCATGGATGGCACCAGCTGCCAATTACTGGGGTCATATTGGTAACATCTCCAGGCACGACTGCCAAGAAAGCAGCATCCCTGCGGTGGTAGGATCCGTACCTTGGAGCACAGGGTAGCCTCAGGTTCAAGGAGGCTGGTCAACAAGGGGAAGTGGCTGCTGTACTCGCATGGGAGCTCAGGGACTAATGACATCCACAGATGCCGGCGCCCACCAGCTGAGCATCTTCAGTGCTCTGGGACAAAGGATGCTCACGAGCGCTCCAAGTACACCAGTACACCAAGCAGGGCAGGCCCCTCTTGACCCATTTCTTCTATGGTCAGAGATTATACACAGGAGATGACCTGCCATAGGATGTGAAATCAAGGGCTAAGAAGGGTCAGGTGGAAAAGGAATGTCAGAGAGGATTCAGGGTTCACTTTGAGAAAGGAAAGAGCCACATTTCATGTTGGACAGAGAGGGATACTGCTGGAAGGTGGTAGCAAGAAGAGGCCTGAAGCGCTTCTGTGAGAAGTTGCTTCTTTTCTCAGAGGAGATAGGGCCAGCGAGGGGTTTGAGAGGAGGGTGGAGAGCAAGTGGTGACTGGTGCAAACTGCAGAGTGCATGGAAATTATACTCCTCAGTCTGCCCAAGGGAAAGGAAATCAGGAGGGAGGGAGATCCAGGAGGCTTATAGCTAGCAGCCTATAAAGAGGCAGGGCCCCTGCTTATAGCCAGTGAAGAAAACAGGACCTTTGCTCAGTGGAGGAGTTCAGTTTCTCCCCATCACAGGAAAGAGTGAATCCAGCTAGCATCACTGCTTTTCCAGGTGCCAACAAGTGCCAGGCACCTGGTTGGCAGCACGTAGGAGGAACTGTAACTGCAACTGAACAAGGTATGGGAGAAAAGAGTACTTCCCTGGGGGTGAGAGTCACAGAGGATCATTTTTGGAGGGAGGGTCCCATCTATGTGCTAAGCGAACATGTCATGTACAGTGGCACTTCCTCTGACGTCCGTTGGGCTGTAAACTCCAGAAGGAGCACAATGTTTGCTTATACTTGTTAACAAACAGTGATCTGGCATGATCTCCATCCAAAGCATCTTTTAATTGCAACCTGATATCATCCTCCCCACCCAGAAACACAAAGGGCTCCACTGTAACAGAGACAGCCTCCAGGCCTGGCACAGGAGATGTGGGGCACCTGTGCACACTGACTGGGTGCCCAGGACCCCATGGGATCATTACTTCTCCTTTGCTCCAGAGTCAAACTGCCAGTTCCCACAGCAAGAGCAATCTAGCTCTCTGCACGGACGCATGACACAAGGGGTCTCTTTACGCACATGGAGCTGGGCAGCAGGCCCCACTGGCCAAGGAGATGCATTCCACACGGAGCAACAGGGAAACGTGCAAATATGCGGAGACACAGGTGCAGAGGGAGGTATAGAGGGAGTTTATCAGAAAAGCGATATGTAGGCAAGCTAGACAAGCAAAAAAACAAAGATTACTGCTGCAGAGAAACACTGGAGCCAAACCTTCCCCGAGATGCAGGCACAAAACCTGCATCTGCTTTCTGCCAGGGCTCCTCGCAGGACATGGCTTGTCAGAACACGTAACACAATACCAACCACAGGCACTGTCTTCCTACCCAGAACAGACCCTCAGCTAGGCCCCTAGCACCGCACGGGTACACCCTGCGCTCAGCTTGGGATGCAATGTTTGGAATACGCCCTCACCATTTTCCTTGCAGCCTTCAGGAAAATGCCAAGCAACCCAGGCCAGCTCCACTCTCTTGAAGCATGAAAAGGTCAGCTCTAAATGGGCAGCGACTGCTCGGAAACGAGCCGCCCAAAACTGCAACAACCGTAACTCATTGCCAGCTGGTCCTCACAGGTCATAGTGAACCTCAAAAGCCGGTCTCTGTGTCACACAATGGAGGTCACTGGCTGGTCCCTGCCCATCACTGTAGGGTACTGCTAAGACAAAGAGGTTCACTGAAGCTGCTTTTGCCCTACCCCATGCAAGGCAGCAATGGCACTTCCGTTTCTGTGATGTTGTAATCCTGCCCTTGGCTCTGTGGGGCAGCTCTGCTGTTCAGGGGCTGCCTCAGTTATTCCTACTTCAAAATCCTGCTTTGTCTAATTATTAAATGTACTCTCTCACAAGGGACTGAACAGCCGAGCTTGCCTAGACTAGTCTCTCCATGGTGGCTGCTGTCAACATGCCAGAGTTCCCCTGTGACCAGTACTGCAGGGACGTGGATAAATGACAGAGATGGTCACACATTTACAGTAAGGCTCTGAACCTCTTGGATAGGGGGGGACAGAAATTTAATGAGTAAGTAATTACAAAGAAGGAAAAGAGGAATTAGCCAAAGCACCAGACCCAGACAACGTGCATTTACGCCACGGATGCCCTTCCCCTCATCCACTCATTGTCTCGTTCCCACGGTGGTTCAGAAAAGCTCCCTGTGCTCGACTCCCCACGCGCAGAGACTCCCTGTTCCCTCAGCCCCAGGGAACGGCCTGTGCTGGGCAGCAGGTAGCTAAAGGGCAAGAGAGAGTACAATAAATAACTGATGAGCTGCATCACCGAAAGAAGGATTCAGCTAAGTGCGCAGTGAAAACCAGCTGCACAAACGTGACACAACGGGCATGGAGAGAAACCAGCTGCCACCTGCCCCGCCCCCCGCTGCGGTCCAGCAAAGGATTCAGCTCCTGGTCGGCTGGGATTCCCCTGCATGGCCCTCCCCAGATCCTGGATTAACCATTGGAAGTTAATCGCTCTTGTTTCTAAAATCCAGATCCCAACCAAACAAGTCAGAACATGTCTGTGTACAAAGACAAAACTGCTCCCTGCATCTGTGTCCTGTAGACAGAGAAGATTAAACATTCCACATCGCTTCAGGGAACCAACCGCTCCAGGGGTATTCAGGCCAGACAGGAGCTCAGCTGGGGCAGGAACTGGCAAGCCAATGGGAAAGGAAAGCTGCTGCCCCCTGCCCTGCCCCAGCACATCACAGAACAATTGTGTGAAGCTCCCACTAATCCCAAATCAGAGATCATGGAGTGGGGGCAAGAAAGGGAGGGTAAACAAAGGGACAGGAATTCAGAGCCGGCACAGCCTAGATGGAGTATCCAGGAAGTGTCCCAGGCTGCAGCCTGGCAACACTGTAATGCTGTTCCCAGGGGAGAGGGATGTGTTAATGATTCAAAGCCTCCCCGCTACCCCGAGAACTATTTACTGAGCAGTGCAAGCTTGACCAGGCTGAGGTCTGCTAGAGAGACTGCAAAGAGGACTTCCAACAGCACACAGGCAACATTAAACTTTGCGTTTTGGTATTTTGGGGCGTGGAATGGCATGGCTCATTGCTTCATCAGCTACCAAGGCAGTATCTTTTATTGGACCAACAACAGGCAGTTAAAGATATGACTTCCCCTGACATTTCCAGGCTCTCACATCCTGGCTGCCCCAGCCCTAACTCCATATGAGAACAGCATTTATGGCTGCTCCTGTTACTCATTTACAACACAACTGGCTTCCTCCTCTGGATCGGGGGAGCCAAGGCTGTCAGTAATTAATCATGGGAGCCAGGTAGCTCCAAGCAACAGCGCTCAACACAGGGTGAATCCTTTTCCAGGAATCTGAGGAATGCCTCTAATTAGCTGAGCGAGGATGGGCTTGACTCCACTGGGCAGGACTGATTGAGGCAAGCCAGAGAACTGTCTCAGCCCAGCAGTAAAGTGGCAGCATTCAGGGACTGATCGTAGTGGAAGAAGACAGTCAGTTCAGTACCCTACTGCTAGACACAAGCCTGCCGGGGTCTGGACTGCCCTGAGGCGATGCAACCCAGAAGTGCCTGCCATCTCCCCCCGGCCTGAGGCTACCTGGTTCACATGCCAGCATCAGGAGGTGCACATGCTGCCTGGCCAAAGGCACGAGGTACTCACACCTGCGTGATGTGCTCCTGGCTCAGCCCATCAGCAGAAACCTGCTGGTATATGACACCTGCTCCACGCTGCTGGCATCCAGCAAGCTGATGCCATGCACCCAGAGTCCTGTAGTCTCAACTTGGGGAGAGGAGAGAGCAGATCCTAGGTTGGGGCTCTGTGCACCTCTGCACACACTTGCCACATCAGTGCTTCAATAGAAAGGGTGCTGTGAGACAGCAGCCATTGTCAACCTCATCTTGCCATGCCAGCCTCCTTGCTCCAGTGAGCAGAAAGGGCCCCAGCCAGGCAAGCACCACTTCTCCGGGTCTGACTTGCCTTCTTCTATACCCACGCTAGCGGAGATTGCAGGCCAACCTGCAGCCAAGATCCCCAACGTGTAAGATGTTCTATGGGTCCGAGGCAGTCCTGGGGTGCTGCTCTTTGGCTGAGGCTCTGCGTGAGCCTCACACGCTGCACACAAGCACCCAACGTGTTTCCAGCAAGGCTGTTTTCAAAAACACACTATTGTTTCTCTAAGGAACACTTTCTGAAGGAGCCTTTTCCTGTCATGGAAACACGTGCTTGCTGTGCCCTGCTGCAATGGCGCCAGCCCCGGCATCTGTGCTGCCTCTGCGTGACCCTCCCCGATCCCCCAGGAAGTTCTCAAGCATGTTAGAGCCAGATGCTGAGCCCCAGCTATCCCTGCAATAGCCCAGCAGGCCCCTGGGATTCATCCCATCCAAGCCAGTTAGTTCCTCTTGTAGCAGACCTGACAGTGATGCTATGAGAAAGGCATGCAGCCTGCCAACCCCGAGAGTGCACACTAGGCAGCACTATCACCCCCACAAAGCACAAAAAGCCAGGGGGGCCCAAGGCTTCCTGGGGCACTGAAGGGAATAGCTCTCAGCCCTCCAAGGAGAAGGAGGAAGCCAAACAAATGCCACTCCAGAAACACAAGGAAACACTGCCTGCCAAAATCCAGGGCATGGGACCCATCTGAACTGAGCAGCACAGGGCGGCATGTGGTGGCTGCTCCTTCTCCAACCTCTTTTCAAGCAGTGGTATCTCCTGGAGGGCTGGAGAGTCTGCGTTTCGGAGTCTGACCCACAATCATCACAGCTATGACAACACCACAGGCCAGGCAAACTCCTTGGCTTCCGCAGGAATTGTATCACGCAGCAAAAGGGAGCATATCCTTGCCACAGCCTCTCAAAACTTGACAGCCTAACTCCTAATGTCTATCCAGATCACATAAAGCACTAAGCGTTACTTTGGTACTGGGACCTGGAAGCAATAGGCAGCCACTGCCCAGGAACAGGACCAGGTAGTGCTGTGTCCCAGTGTTAAGGGGGTTTCTCTGGCCTTGGCTGCAGAGGCGGGAGCCAGCCTGGCAGGCTGTGTTGCTGCAGCATAGAAGACGAGAGGAGCACTGTGAGCGTGGCCCCGAGGGCTGAAGCAGAGCTCCTCAGGCACAGACCTACACAGGCGAGTGGACCGATGGAGGCAGCCACATGCAATATGCTGCTTGTGTGGGGAGGGAAGCAGGACCTGCTCTTGATAAATAAACCAGTTAGTCACCAATTCTCCTCATTGCAGAAGCCCCATGCAGAGCAATGCGCACCGGCCGCTCACTCCAGCCCACGCACTAGGATCAAGTGCATCCCTTGCAACACAGGACACACAGGTCCACATCCGGTGCCTGGTTCCTGCTGCTCAGTCACCCCCTCAAACACTCCTGGCTCAGGGGCTTGCTTGGGGCAGCAGAAACAGAAAGGTTTGGCCTCACCATAGCCCCTGAGCAGATCCCCTCTTCGGGATGCTGCAAGCCTATGATACATCTGCTGCAGTAATGAGTGGGCATTTCCCTTTCCAGAGTCCAGCTGAGAACAACTGCATCCCTTCACCCTGGCTGCGGGTGGGCTAAGTGACTCTGTGATGCTTGGACCAAAAGCCACAGAGGCCTGTGCGGTATCAGAATGGGATTGATTATAGATAAGATACCCCAGGCAGAGGCGTGCTGACGTCCAAGCTGGAGGCCCCTGCTTCCTGTACTGATTCTATGCAGGATGTTGCTGGAGCAGTTCCTGACCGCCAAGCTAAACATGCAATGTGACCTTTAAACTGAACCCAGTGCAAGAGTCCGCAGGGGGCATTAGAACCAGCCAACAAAAAGCCTCCTTCAAAGAGGCCCTTGACAACATCGTTCAGACCCTAAGGATCTGAACTGGAGATCAGCCAGAAAGGAAGGAAACAGGCAGAAATCCCATTCCCAACCTGCTGTAGAAAACAAGGATCTCTGCAAAGCAGCCCAGGACTGGGGCTGTTGTTGCCTTGTTGCTGTGGAAGGCAGGATGGCACAAGCAGCCTCCCTCAGTGGCGGGCCAGTCTATGAGGAGGGAGAGCATCCCTCATCCTGGGTACAGAACAGGAACATGGGGAGCCCAGTGCCCCTGGCTCCCCCACACCTGAAGATTAGTCAGGCCAAAGATGTGTCAGCTCTGGCATTTTCAAGAAGGCACAGAGCTAGAAGATAAGCAGGGATTGCATCTTTTGGTGAGGCCATGAAGAGAAACTTTGCTATGCCCTCTACCCATCCTATGGGTAAACCCAGGGCATCTGTCTGGGGCTGCCCACCTGCTATGTCTCAGCTCATAAAACTGACAGCAAGTCTCTGATACTCTCCAACATGGCGTAACAGCGCTCTGCTCATTTACATCCAGGTTCCCCAGAATGCCCACAGCCACGAATGAGCTGTGGTGGAACAGCTGAGCCCTGCAGAGGCCAGCATGGCTCCCATGGACACACGCACCCCAAGACTCACAGTTGCCGCTTTGCACCTGCTACGTGCACTCCTGCAAGGAGGGCAGGATGCATCTCCCAATTCCCTCCCTGGGGAACATTCCCAGCACTGCACCAAACCCACCTCCTTCCCTGCAAAAACCCCTCTGCAAGTAGCATCCAACTGCACAGATAACCAGCCTCGACGCAGCCCAAGAGCAGGGGGTATTAAGGCAGGAGGGGGTGGCCAGGGCAGTCCTGTACATTGTATCTCATTTGGCTGTCACAAGGCAAGCCAAGGCCATGGCAGCCAGGTCTCAGCTTGGGGTAAACCCAGGCTGCCCCAGCAACCTCAGGAGCAGCTGGGCAGCTGCTCCACCCCTGCTCTGCAAGCACAGTCTTTCTAGGCAAAGCCAGCCAGTAGGGAGAGACTGCAGGCTACCAGGGAGATGGCTCACTGCCATTAGTAAGCAGAAGTCCAGCAACTTTACAGGGCTGTGAATGCTTGTGTTCACCGGGACCTAAAGTTCTCAGGCTAAAACTCCAATCCAGGACAAGGCATTTCGTTATCTGCCTTAATAACCTAAGTGAGGGGGAAGTATATGTACCCACGCACCAGCATATACCTCAGAAAGCCAGCAAAATCAAAGGAACCTCGCCACACTTTGGAAACTTCTCCCCACCGTGGCCTGCAGATTTGTGCCACAAGAAATAATACCTGAACCTTTGCAGCAGCCCAGGTCTCCAACCTCTTGCCCTACTGATATGGCTATGCACAGTCCCTAGAAACAAATGCACGCAATTCATCAGTTCCTGGACCAAACAGTAGCCTTAAACAAAAGCAACCCTTCTCTTCTCCCTTCTGTAAATCATGCACATGTAGCCAAATGTGAACCTGATACTTGAGACAAAGCTGACACATCTTCCTGAAGAAGCTCTGCAGCGTAATCATAGAAGTGTGCCTCTGAACAGCAAGAGCAAAGGGTGCTGGAAGGACAAAGTGTCTGATGCACACCAGCCGGTGAGAAAGCAGTTTGGATAGGCACTTTCTAAGCCGTACCACAATGTCCTCCCCACGTTTCTGCCACTGATTCTGCCAATTCTTGAAGGTATTAAACTGCACGTGGTACCAAAACTGCTGATATGGTGGTTTACCTCTGCCTGTCTGACATCGAATTCCCACTGTGGCCCGCTAAAAGGTTCCAGTGCCCCTAACTGGTTATTTCCATATTTTCCAATTTTTTTTTCAGCTTTACTTGAAGGGACTCTTCTTTGCCTTTGGTATGTGCTGCTGTCACTGCAGAATTCATTGCAAGGCTTTTCTGCCTAACTACTGGCTTATAGGAACTGTCTGCACTCCAGCATCCCTTAGAGGTTATTTTGGTTTTTAATCCCAGAGTAGAGACTGGCCAGCAGCAGCAGAAGCCCTTATTCCCAAATAAGCATCTCTTTCTGTCTCTCTCTGTCGGTGTTTTGTCACCTTTTCATCAAACTATTACAGACAGGGTTGCTCTCCTTGGCAGCAATGCACTGCTGCTCGCCCAGCGTCATCGCTGCCCATAGAACTGATAACCAAGCCCTGCACGACTTGCTCAGACTCACACAAAGGCTACAGCAAAGCCCGTGAGCAGAGCACATCCTCCCTCATGGAAATGATGAAGTCCCTGGGCGTTTGCCACCTCTTCCTTTTGCCTATGATGCCTGTCTGAGATCACAGCAGTGACTTCCTATTGTTTCCTAAAAAACTAAAGCCTTTCCATGCTGCTTCCTGGCTGTTACATCACTGTAATTCCAGCACAGAGGATGAGATCAGAATCTAATGCCAACTGGAACAACGCAGTCACTGTCAACACAGACCGATTTCTGTAGCAATTGTGTCATAACAGGAACACTGCATGCAGTACTGATGCCACTGCATCCAGTACCAAGGCTGCCACCTTGTGCTCCAGCTGCCAGGCTCATGATGGACATCAGTTCCTCCAGAGCTATGTATCCAATCGGTCTCCTGTCTTCTCAAGCTTCTTAATTCCTGCTCTCCCCACACCTCCATCTCTGAGCACCAGTGATTCCCCCAAGACCTTCCCCAGTCCCCCTTTCCCCAACAGACTGCCTGGCACCTGGGACTAAGAAGCAGAGGGACACAAAACACCAGGATGTAAAGGTAAGAAGTGATATCTCCTGAGGGCAGAGAGAAGGCAAAACATCACTTTGTAAAGGACAGGTAAAGATCCTAATAGTTGCAAAGGCAGGTGG